GCTGGACCCAAGTCCTTCATGTCAAACTCCTTTGACAGCTGCTGCTTCAAACTCCTGATATCCTCCATATCTGCACTTGCAACCAACATATCATCAACATATAATAGTAGGATGATATAGCTGGACTGATATCTTTTGAAGTAGCAACAGTGGTCGGCGTTGTACTTTTGGAAACATTCCTTGTGCATAAAGCCGTCAAACTTTCTGTACCACTGTCTTGGGGCTTGTTTCAGGCCATACAAGCTTTTCTTGAGTCTGCACACCAGATTCTTCTTCTTTTCTTCTGAGAAACCTTCTGACTGGTGCATGTATATCTCCTCTTCTAGATCTCCGTGAAGAAACGTCGTCTTCACGTATAACTGGTCGAGATGAAGATCTTTAATAGCTACAATACTTATCACTGTTCTGATAGTATTTAGCTTCACCACGGGAGCGAAAATATCGGTGTAGTCAATTCCTTCCTTCTGCTGGAATCATTTGATAACTAGTCGTGCCTTATATCTTTTGGAACCATCCTGCTCCTCTTTCACCCGGTATACCCATTTATTGTGGAGTGCCTTCTTACCCGTGGACAACTCAGCTAGTTCCCACGTCTGGTTTGAGATGAGAGACTTCATCTCATCTTTTATGGTAAGCTCCCACTTGCTCGCATCTCCACTCTGACAAGCTTCATCATAGCTTTCAGGCTCCCCTTCATTTAACAACAACAGATAGTTCATGTATCAACAACAGATAGTTCATGTATCTCCTGTTAGGCACAGGAGGCCGTGAAGATCTTCTCAATATCGGAGCTGGTGTGTCGGGCTCTTGCATACCATCTTGTCCAACTAGCTCTTTTGGCTGAGGATCTTTTGCATTGGGTTCTTCCGAGAGGTTACTCGGGATATCATCTGCATCTACAAATATTGACTCTCTCTCTGAGTCGTCTGTCTTGTGCTTGTCCTTGTACATCACCTTCTCGTTGAATATCACATCTCTACTCCTGATCACCTTCTTGTTTTCGTTATCTCAAATGCGGTAGCCGAACTCATCTTCACCATAGCTGATAAAAGTGTATTTCTTGGACTTGGGATCAAGCTTATTCTTGCATTGATCACTAATATGCACGTAAGATACACAACCAAAAACTTTGAGATGTGAAAGTTTTATCTCCTTTCCGCACCACATCTCCTCTGGTATTCTGTACTCCAATGGAACCGATGGACCTCGGTTGATCAAGTAAGCTGATGAATTGTTTGTTTCTGCCCAGAACTGCTTCAGTAGGTCTGACTGTACCCGAATGATTCTGGCTCTCTCTGTCAACGTTCGGTTCATCAGCTTAGGTACACCATTTTGCTGAGGCGTGTCGGGTATGGTTCTCTCCATTCTGATCCCATGCTCATAGCAGAACTTCTTGAATCCAATTTCTTCATACTCACCGCCATTGTCGGTCCTAAGTTTCTTTATTCTCAGACCGGTCTCATTCTTGACCATAGCTTTCCATCTCCCAAAAGCTTCAAATACTTCTGACTTATGCTTCAGAAAGTAGACCCACACTTTTCGAGAGTGATCATCAATAAAAGTCACAAAGTAGTGTTTTCCACCAATGGACGCGGTGGTGGTTGGTCTCCAAACATCTGAGTGAACGAGTTCTAGCTTCTCTTTCCTGAGGGTTCTACCACTTGTCTGAAAGCTGACTCTCTTTTACTTTCCAAGTATGCATTCTTCATACATATCTAAATCAACTGATTCTAGACCTGGGAGTTTTCCCTTTGTGTGCATGATCTTCATCCCCTTCTTACTCATATGACCGAGTCTCTGGTGCCACAGATTTGAAGTCTCATTGCCTGCTACAACTAAGATCAAACAAAGTACAACTGCTATCATATACAGGGTACCAGTCTTTTTACCTCGGGCAATCGTCATGGCGCCCTTTGAGATCTTCCAATCATCTCCATGGAAGATCGTAGTGTATCCTTCGCCAGCCAACTGGCCTACAGATATTAAGTTCTTTCGCAAGTCGAGAATATGCCTGACATCCCTTCAGCTCCTATACTTACCCATTCAACTTAAGTTTTACTACACCTTTACCCACAATAATACATGGTTGATCATCACCAAGGTATATGTATCCAAGATTTCCGGGAACATACTTCTCGAAGAATTCTTTCTGAGAAGTAGCATGGAACAACGCTCCTGAATCTAACACACAAGATTCCTCCTTGCTCTCCAAAGAACATACCAATGCGTCGTCTCCTCCTGAGGTGGAAGTGACATTCACCTCTACCTTTGCCTCCTTCTCCTTCTATGCACCCTTTCACTGATTCTTGTAATGCCCGGTCTTTTTATAATTCCAACACTCGATAGCTTTCGAGCTGTTGCTTGGATTCCTTGACTTGGACCTCCTGTCCTTTGATCTACCTTTGTAGTTTGATTTGCCTCGTCCGTTCCCTCTGGTTGAATTTCTACCTCTTGACTCTGTATGTAATACTGAAGAGGTTGCAGCTTCACCTGACTCTCTCCGTCGGATCTCCTCACTGAGAACCAAATCACAAACGTCGTCGAACTTAAACTTTTTGCTTCCCGACGAGCTACTCACAGCTGTGATTGTAGCGTTCCAACTCTCTGGTAGAGAGGACAAAAGTATCAACGCCCGAACTTCCTCATCAAACTTAATTTCAATTGAACTCAATTGGGTTGTGACCGTGTTGATTTCATTGAGGTGTTGTGCTACTGATGCGCCTTCCGCCATTCTCAGGTTGAATAACCGCCGCATCAAATAAACTTTGTTCGTGGCTGATGGCTTCTCATACATATTTGAGAGTGCTGCCATAAGACCCGTCATGGTCATCTCCTTCGCAATATTTAATGCAACATTACGAGTCAACATCAATCTGATAACTCCGAGGGCTTGTCTGTCTAGAAGGATCCACTCATCTCCCTTCATCGACTCCGGCTTCTTCCCCGATAGTGGTTGATATAGATTTTTCTGATACAGATATTTCTCTATCTGCATTTTCCAGAATCCAAAATCTGTTCCATCAAACTTCTCAAGTCTCATTTTTCCTTCATCTATGGACATGGCTCCCACTCGAATCTGACTTCCTCTAGATCATTTCACGCTCTGATACCAGTTGTTAGGAATTTTACGTCGAAACCCCTAAACAGCAGAAATGCGGAATAGAGAAAATACACCAAGGTTTAACGAGGTTCGACAACTGCCTACGTCCTCAGGAGCCACATAGTAAATTTCTTATTAATCAAACAAGAAATTACAAACTTAGAGCATATCTCAAACTTGAGATATCTCAATAAATACAATCTTCATTGTAGCTACAGTGAAGATTCTCCTCTCATAAATATTCTCTTTCTTAAACTCTCTCTTTAATTTTCTTTAAAGTCCCCCCTCCAAATCGCTGTAGAGAGAGAGAGAGAGAGAGAGAGAGAGAGAGAGAGAGAGCAGAGGAGAAATTACATCTGGGAGGAGAAGAAGCGCCGCCAAAAGATCGCGAGAAGAACAGCGATATCGGGCTCTGGGGTTTCCCTTTTATAGGGAAACCCTAGCTGAGCTGTCGACAGTCTGGATCCGTCACGAGCTCGCCTGCTCTAAACTCGCCTGCATCGCTTCGTCCTCGCCTGTAAAGGCCCCGAGCTCGCCTACAGATCCTTCCCGCCAGATCCCAAACTCGCCAGCAAGGAGCCACCCGAGCTCGCCTACAGATCTCGTGCTCGCCTACGTGTCCACGACTTCGCCTGAAGCCGCCACGATTTCGAGCTCACCTCGCCTACAGCCCCGCTCTCCTGCAAGGATCTCGAGCTCGCTGGAGTAAAGGTATGGTCTTCACCCCAATTCCAACAGTTTTCAACAATTGCGGCTGATTTGAGCCGAAGAAAATGATAGAGGGAGGTCGTTGTCAAGAGGTCGCCCTCACTTTTCTTCTCCTGCGGGATTCTCACAATCTCTCACTCTTTTAAAAAAACTCTCAGTTTGTTTACAACCAGAGATAGAGAGCTACACAAAAGGAAGTTCTCTCAAATTTTGTATGTGCGTTGCATTGAGAGATTGAATATAGTGAAACTCCTCTCTTGCCGTGGACGTAGATCAATTTGATCGAACCACGTAAATTCTCGTGTGATTGTGTTTCTTTTTATTTTCTGTTTGGAGTTTTCATTTTGATATTCTTTATCAAACCGCTACGGAATTGTCTCAACAGTAAGTTCAAACATCAAGAATTATAAATACTTTCAGATTGGTGCATGATGGGGACTTCTTAGCTCCTATAAGATCAATAATTCAGCTTAATGTGATCCATCATCATGTAGACAAGTATTATGCGACAAGTATAATTAGCTTACCTAGCTGTCGTCAAAGCAGTTAGGCGCGAAACTGTAAAATAGCATGATTTACTTTGTGAAGTGCCTTCACAAGCATTTGTGAAGAAATGCTTAATTGATCAACCGATCCTTGACCAAGTAAGATTTTTTTCAGTAGGAAAAGTATGAGCTTAACCAAGTGACACGAGAAGCAGAAGAGAACACACAGCACAGCTCTAAAAACAAATTTCTCATGCTCCTAAACAATCCACCTAACTTCAAATCACTTCTCCACTAAAATCAGACAAAAGCAACATCAAGCAAACTGGCAGGAGAGACGCTCAAGTAAGAGCAAGAAATGACAGCAAGCCGAATTTAAATGTTAAAGCCAAGCCAGAACAGTAGTAAAGCTAAAATCTAGTAAGTGTACATATTGGACCATTACAGCATGCATGATAACTCATGGTATAACTAATGATTTATGCCCTTGTGCACCTCAAAATGAAGCCATCAAAAAACACAAGAGGGATGAACCATTTACCTAATTTTAGCACATGCACGGATTATAAATACATAAATTCACAATAAATTCACAAGGCAAACACCGAAAGATAGACGTATTCCGAATAGTCACTTGAAGACTCATGTCACTTGCCCCAGGGAGAAAGGATTGAGCCGGACTAGGTAGGAAAAGATGAGAGGGAGGATTCCTTAAGAATTGTCATGTATTCCTTGCTGCAAATGCCAAAGGAGCAGACCTTTCGCTAATTTTAACACATGAAGAGATTATAACAACACAACTAACGACAAATTTACGATAAGTTCACGAGACAAACACCACATAATAAATTCATAATGGTTATCTTAAAGGCTCGTATCAAGAGGAAAAGGGCGGAGGGGGAGACCTCATTATGACTGATCGTGTAAAGAAACTTGATCCTCATGCTCCTTAGCATTTCCCTTACGATCATTCTCAAACCTCGAAATTGTAAACCATTTCATCTCCACCCCGACTGCGGCTCCTGCTGCCGCTACATCCCCCTTAATCGCCATCTCAACTAAAATCTTTCCAACTATTGGCCCCATCTTGAATCCGTGCCCAGAAAACCCTCCAGCCACCACCACATCCCTACCAAACTCCCTCCCAACAAAATCCAATACAAAATCCCCATCAGGAGTCATAGAATACAGACATCTTTGCATCATCACAGGCTTGTCGAACATGACACAACCGGGCATCACCTTTTCAATCCACTTCCCAACAGGCTCCACCAGAGAACCAACACAAGAGTCTGACCCCAAGCTCCAATTTCTCTTGTCTGGGTCGCACAGGTGACCCCCGTGCATTGCAATCTTGACTAGCCCGGGGAAGTCTATTGATGGTGTGCCGTAGATATAGGGATCACCGTAGTTCGCAAATGACGGAAAACCACTTCCCGGAACTAGGGTCTTCTCAAAGCTTTCTCTGATTTTCCAATAGCAAACGAGAGTGTGAAGCGGCTGGATGCGGCTGGATCGGTAAATCCAGCCGGGCTGCTGTTTTAACTAGCTTTCGAGTCCAAGCTCCGGCAGTCACCACACACTTATTCCCCCGGAACCTACGGCCATTGACGGTTGAGACCACGACTCCATTGCCATCATCAGCTTTCTTGATATCAACCGCTTCTTCGTGGTCTCTGAGAACAGCACCTCTCTTGATGGCGAGTGCCTGGAACATGGCTACTGCCTTTGTTGGCTTAATCACTCCACCTTCAGTAGCCAATCCGATCCACCCCTCAGGCATCTCAAACGAGCAACCAAATTTCTCGGAAACCTGAGACTCGTTCAAGACTCGTACATCGATGGAATGAGAGTTACAACTAGAAATGACAGACTGTAGGCTCTTGTTACAGGCTGGGCCTAAATCAAAATGTGGGGTTTTAGTAATGACCCGGTACCCAATTTCAGACTCGGCTTCTTCCCAGAGGCGGAAAGACTCGATCACCATGGGAACGTAGTAGGGTTCAGGGTAAGTGTAACGGATCGTTCGTGACTCTCCGTGGGAGGAGCCAAGATGGTGAAGGAAGTCGAACTGCTCCAAGAGAAGAACGTTGAGGCCACGCTTTGCCGCCTCGTAAGCGGTGCAGCTCCCCATGATCCCTGCACCAATGATGATAACATCAAAGTGATCACCAGCAACCTCCATTATACTCTTATCTTCTGCTGAGCGGATTTTTTTCGGTGCTAGGAGGATTTACAGGTTTTTAACAAAGAGGACAATTTCAGAAATGTCAGTAAGGATGGATTTTGGATTCTCTTTGCACTAAATAGATAGTGAAGATCCTACTACTTCCATCATACTCTTATTCATTCAATGAATGGTTATGATTTGAATTGAATAAGCGTTAATAGCTAGCGATAAGATCGTGTCCTCATGCTAACAAACTATGGCCCAGCTCTGCAGCCAGAAACAAAAAGTGCCTACTGAGCCGTGACTCTTTGAGGCAAAGAGACAAATAACTTATGCAGAAGTATAAGAACCGTTTAGAGATAATGAATACAAACTTGTCTTGTCCAAACCAAGACTTTTCTTTCAACTTAGTGACAGCTCAGATTCAAGTTCAGATACAACCTTGACATAATAACAGTGTTGTAAGATGTAGATGTGTTAGGTTTGGTTCTACTCTTTGGATTCTGCAGCAGATCATGAATGTAAATTTAACATCATAAACGGATTAAGTTGATGAAGTAGAATTTTAGAAAAAAAAATTTAAGGAAAAAGTAAAAACAAAAAAAATTAAGCAAGGTAAAACCTAGGAGCCATAGACGAAGTAGGGTTGAGCCTGGTGTTGTGCGCAGCGGAATTCAAACACAAAAGAGCATGAACAAGCGAGATCGAATCACAAACAATAAACCAACACAAGCACCACAGCAAGACAACGAATTTTACGTGGAACAAGCGAGATCGAATCACAAACAATAAACCAACACAAGCACCACAGCAAGACAACGAATTTTACGTGGTTCGGCAAGTTGCCTACGTCCACGGGAAAACCAACACAAGCACCACAGCAAGACAACGAATTTTACGTGGTTCGGCAAGTTGCCTACGTCCACGGGACAAGGAGAGAAGAGTTTTTACTATTAGAGAGAAAGAGAATACAACTAGGGTTTACAATCTTACAAAATCTCACAAATAAACCCTCAAACAAAGCTCTCAAATATCTCACCAATTCTCCCTCAAAAAAATACACAAAACTCTCTCAATGGCTGCTCAAAATCGTCTCTTAAATTTCCATAGAAACAACAATGTTTCTATTTATATGAACAACAAACCCAAACCAATCAGGAAACTAAAACTGGGAAAAAACCGCGATCCGGTCGACCATACATGTGGTCCGGTCGACCGACCAGAAGGCTGAAATCTCAGCTTAATCAATTACAGGGTTTTGGTCGACCGGACTAGCCTAACGGTCAACCAGACAGGGTTCGCGGTTGACCAGCCTAACCTCACGGTCATTCGGACAGAAAGCCAAAAGAACACCATGTAGTGTGCACATTTCCGGTCGACCGGCCTAAGCTCGCGGCCGACCGGACTGCATCCAAAATTCTACTTGCTTCATTTTTCCTGTTCTTCACCGCTGTTTTCGTCTTTTCTACAATTCTCCACCTCGGTGAAGTTTTTTCTAAACTGAGTCGACCATAATACCAATTGTAGGCTGTCTAAAAATCATAATAGATAGCTGATCCCCATCAAAACACCAATGATGGAAGTTACAATCTGACGACTTCCAGAATGTTACAATTTGAAGACTTTTACGTAGGTTGATGAAGGTTACAATCTGACGACCTTCACAACAACTGATGAAAGCTCTAATCAACAGCCTTCACAATCAACATCGAGAGTTACAATCTGACGACTCTCATATTCTCAAGGAGGCAAGATGAAGATTACAAGACAATGATCTTTGCAACGCTATGACAAAAGAGATTACTTGTTGATAATCTCTTCGAAGCAAGACGCGGAACTCATCACCGCGCTCTAAGACCAAAACACAGAGGTCATCCTTGCGCATCAACACCAAAACGCGGAGGTCCTCCTCGTGTGTCAATATTAAAATGCTGGGGTCGGACCCACGTTGCAACATCAAAACGTCGGAGTCGAACTTACGTTGCAACATCAAAATGCTAGGGTCAGACCCGCGTTTTTGTGTTTGACTGGTTCAAACAGAACCTGAACGGTTTTAAAACCGTATCTCTACTTAATGGGGACGGTTACACCCCATTATGGAGCCATTTTAGGGGGGATTACACCCCTTAAACCCGTGAACAGTTCCAAAACTATTTTCCATGATTAGAGGGCGGTTACACCCCACTTAGGAGTGATTTAAGGGGTAGTTACACCCCCTAAATCCTCTATAAATAACTAAAAATCAATTCAGTTCAGGGGTTCGAGCAGAGGGGATTTGGCTCTCGGTTTGGCAACAACAGAGATCCTTGGGCAGGCTTTGGAGGAGATCGGCTAGAGAGAGATACTTGGCAACAAGGAGATCTTGAAGCATCCTTGAGCAACAGCTTTCATCCTTGGCTTATCAACCGAACTTTCAGTTCAAATCAACTCTTTTTCAAGAGTTTCCAACTCGTTCAGAGTTATCAACTCGTCCAGAGTTTTAAACTTACCACGCAAGTTCTCCACAACGTCAAATCGTGAGGAGAAGACATCGTTCCAGTGAATCAAAACGTCGGGTCGTCAGCGGAGAGCAAACTCAACGCGAGCATTCGAGGGAAGTACTCCATCACCACCGTGAAGAACCCAGTTTTAAACAAAGGGGAGAATCCAGATCATTCTCCTCTCTTCTGTAATCAGGGAATCCAATTGTAACTGAGATTAAAGAAATACAAATCAATTTTTCTTTCATTTCTTTTACATCGAATTTTCCCACAAACACCAATCAAACATCCCACTTATTGCTTCCAAAAAGAAGTGGAAATAATCCACGACAACGGACTCAATCTACAACAAATCGGGAACCAATTAAGAATGTAAATAATCTCCACCGTGTCGGTATCAACTCATCAAACTAGTTGTATCAAAATGACTACCTACGTATCCGCTTGCTCAAGAAATCAAGTCTCACGTAGTTCACCCAAATGGCCTCCAAAGGCCATCAACGATGAAGAATGTTCAATACCTCCAAATAATGACCAAATTTTACTCCCGTGACAACTTTGGTCGACATATCTGTAGGGTTATCCTTTGTATGGATTTTCTCCAATATGACATCACCATCATCTAAAACATCTCGAACAAAATAGAATCTGACATCAATGTACTTTGTGCGTGCATGATATACCTGGTTCTTTACCAAATGGATAGCTGATATGCTATCATAATACACCCGGATGGTCTCATGTGCAATCTCCAAGTCATCCAACAATCCTTGCAACCATAACGCATTCCTTCACAGCTTTAGTCACTGCCATATACTCCGCCTCCGTGGTAGAGATAGCCACAGTAGACTAAAATGTACATCTCCAACACACCGGTGCTCCTGCTAATGTAAATATATATCCTGTAGTAGACCAGCGCTTATCAAGATCCCCCGCATAATCAGAATCCACGTATCCAACACAATCCTACACAATCTTCTCATTCTTCTGAAATACCAAACCAACATCCACAGTACCTTTGATATACTATAGAATCCATTTCACGGCCTCCCAATGACCCTTCCCGGGGTCGTGCATATATCTAGACACCATGCTCACGGCCTGTGAAAAATCTGACATCGTACACACCATCACATACATCAAGCTACCTATCGTATTGGCATATGGAATCTTTGACATGTACTCTCGGTCCTCGACTGAAACAAATAACATCTTAACTGAAAGCTTAAAGTGGGGAGCCAATGGAGTACTCACCGCCTTGGTATTGCCATCAAAGCTGAATTTCTTCAACATCTTCTATAAGTAGCTCCTCTGTGTCAGCTTCAATCTCCTCTTCACCATGTCTCTCTCAATCTTCATACCTAATATCTTCTTAGCTTCTCCAAGATCCTCATCTCAAATTCGGATGACAGCTCCTTTTTCAACTTTTGAATAGCCAAAGAATTCCTAGAAGTAATGAGCATATCATCAACATACAACAACAAATAAATATACTCATCATCCTATAGCTTGTGCATGTAAACACATGGGTCATATGGGCTCCTTGTGTACCCATGGTCAATCATAAAATTATCGAATCTCTTGTACCATTGTCGCGACGATTGCTTCAATCCATAAAGAGACTTCTTCAGTTTGCACACCAAATCTTTCTTGCTCGCAGCTCTAAAACTTATAGGTTGTGTCATGTAGATCTCCTCCTCTAAGCTCCATATAGAAAGGCTATCTTAATATCCATCTGGACCAAATCCAAATCCAGTTGTGCCACCAATGCTTATAGTATCCTTATCGACGAATGTTTCACTACCGGTGAGAATACTTCATTATAATCAATACCCTCAAGCTGGGCATACCCCTTGGCAAGTAATATGGTTTTGTACCAAATGTCCTTATTAGAAGATCCCTCTTTCTTTGCATATACTCACTTGCATCCAATAGCCTTCTTACCCTTCAGTAGCTTTGCAAGTTCCTAAGTGTCATTCTTCTGAAGAGAGGGCATCTGCTCCTCCATAGCTTCCCTCCATCTGATTGAATCAGAGCTTAACTCTGCTTCTCTATATGTAGAAGGAACCAAATCATCAATGATCTCCACTGATAAAGCATATGCAATAATCACATCATTATATCTAGCTAGCTGACGAATAACCCTTCTAGGTCTATTAGCTGCAATCGACCCTTGAACATGACCCTATCCTTGAGTCTCTCCATCCGCTGTATCCTTCAAATGCCCATCTATCATATCTCTTCCTAGTGTCACCTTTGTAGGAGCCTTAATGAATACAATGCTCTCTGAAGTATGTGGAGTCACATCATCCACCACCTGCTGCGATATCCCACTATTCTGACCTTCCTCCACCTACTGAGGGACTTGAGGCCTCATCATGTACACCTCATCAAAAGTGACATCATTGTTAATGATCATCTTCCTATCTTGTGGATCCCACAACTTGAAGCCTTTAACTCTATCTCTAAAGCCCACAAAGACTGCTTTCTCGCCCTCGAATTTAATTTCCCATCATTCACATGATATTAAGCTTGACACCCAAATATCCAAAGCAACTCATAATCACTAGTCACCGAACCATGTAGGCGTCTGAAAATGCCTATAGGTGTCTGCACACAGCTCGAGACAAAGAGAAGGCGATGAACGCCATTATCCAAGTCGAAGGGGATTGTCCGAGTT